GAAAAGGTACTTTTTCCTGAGAAAAGGTACTTTTTCCTGAGAAAAGGTACTTTTTCCTGAGAAAAGGTACTTTTTCCTTAGAAAAGGAACCTTTTCCTCTGCAGTACTTTTTTCCAAAAATAATATTTGATTTTGGAGTAAATTTTATGCGATTTTTCCTTTTCTCCTCATCAACACACGTTGTGTCTTTAGAAAGAAACGTTCCATAATGTTCTAGATCGTTTTTTGGATGTATTCAAGCATGTCTTATATTATATTTCCTATTTGGCGTGTTTGAAACAGGCGTTGTGGTTTTAAAAGGTTTGAAGAAAACGTATCCAAACACGACGCCAAACACGACGATAAAATTTCGTAGGCGGGTGAAATTACACCCAGCCACCTACAATGAATTGTAGTAAATTGAAAGAGACTCTTCATTAAACATGAAACTTTCCGAGACACTGCAATGTCACTTTCTCACAATCCTTTCTCCTTCCCTTTGTTCATGTGGATTTGTAGAAGTTCATTTTTTACTGAATTGTACGAGTGCATCGTATGCTTGTGCCTGCGGCCGAAAATTTTTTAGACACCCGTGTACACAAATTAAGAGAAATATTACAAAAAGAAGAAAAGAAAAATCAAAATTACTTTGTAGCCTGATTAGGAAATTGATACTTTCATAGTTTGACCGGAACCAAATTCTAAACCAAGCTTTGATTCCTGGGCTGCCAAGCGCTCATAGCCTGTAAAGATGCGGTATACGAGTAGTAACTCATCAAACAGCCTGTGCCCGCCTCTCCATTGACGACCGAAAGACAGCAGAATACGGTGAAACCGTTGATCTTCGATCAATATTGATTTTTGAACCGTTTAGTGACTTCATCGGGTACGTGACTCGCATTTATCTGCCGCCAAACCAATATCCCAAACCAAAGATCCTGCCCATTCGCCGCATTGTCCGTGCGAGACCGGAAAGTTTTAGGAGAGACTGGTTTCGTGTGAGGTGTAGTCTAGAGGTAGAGGGGAGTGCATACCACGACACGGATCAAATTTTTGCAGAAAAAGTTGAATATCGTTATTTTTCTCAGATTAGCCCCTTATGAAAGGGAAAAAATGTATGTACCTTATCTAAAAATCTCAGGGGATTACACTCAGCGCACTTCCTTCCAGCACTTTATAGGTATGAACATGGCCAGTGGGTGGAAAATCTTCATAGGGGTGGTTTCACAATAACTGGAATAGTTTTGTCGCCGTATAACAGACAACACATTTTTCGGTCATAATTTTAGTAGTAATGATAATCACTCGAATTTTTTTGCATTAATCTACACAGGTTTACGTGTTATAACGCTTTTCAACGATTTATCGCTCTACTTTTCAATTTTAATATATAAATGGCCGAAAATGTGCTGTCTGTTACGCTGGCTTTTTACGCTGACTTTTTACCGCGTAACAGACAGCACATTTTCCGAATTTACATAATATTAATTGAGAAGTAGAGTAATAAATCATTAGAAAGCGTTATAATACGTAACCCTTTGAAGATTAATGCGAAAAAATTCGAGTAATTATCATCACTTTATAAATATGACCGAAAAATGTGTTGTCTGTTACGGCGACAAAACTATTCCAGTTATCGTGAAACCACCCATAGACTGTTGCTCTGATAAATGACGAAGCTTAATAGCGTCATTCCTCTCAGCAGTTCGGTCTGTCACCGATGCCTGAAAGAACGCAGAAATGTCACCATCTTCCACATCTGCCTGAGGTGAGGGTGCGGGCTCATTTCCTCAATCGTGCTTCCATGGATACACTTCCTGCAAGGTAAAATGATTGAAAAAAAATTCGAGCTAGATCGAATATTTTTTCAATCATTTTACCATGTTCCATGAAAGCCAGCCAAATTGACATTAAAATGTACTTCCTGTAAATTTGGACGTCTTCCTTTGGGACTTTATAAATCGCTGATACTTCTACAAATATTATTTTATAGTCTTTGGTACTCCTTCCATCATTTCTAAGACCCTGGGATGGGATTCCAACGTTCTCCTTGTATATTATTCACGTGTGCCCTGGTAAAAATTGGCAGTAGAATCTGTGTTCCAAAATACCATAGACCTACAGCCGGCTGTAAGATTTCCAATAGCTTCTATAGCCGGCAACACAATTTCTTATAGACTTTTACAGCCGATGGCGATTAATCAACAGCCTGGCGATAAAGTGTATGCTAAACCTTAGTAATTACGGATGCTAGGACTTAGTGAGTTTCCGGACTACCGCTCTCTTTTTGGGCCGCAGTCTCTTGATTTAATTTGGCTCCGTACTTTTGAAGAATGCCTGCCATTCCTAATATGTTGGAGCGCCTTCAATTTCGTATGATACTGTGCAATACCTCTGGTGTGAAAAAGTTGCTTCAAGCGCCGCGGTACGCTGCGGCGCGGCGCGGCGGGCGGGCAACCAGCGCTGAATGCGCATTGGCGCCTTCAAATCTAACATGGATACTTCACGCATTACGCAATGCGTGAAGTATCCCTGTTAGGTTTGTAGGCGTCAGTGCGCCGCCGCTCCGCTTTGTGTTAGGCTCTAATATTAATTTAATCTCGCAGAGTCAGCGTTTTTCAACTGTTTGCACACTCTATATGGATTATTCTCATTTTAATTGATGAAAAAACATATGTAGTGAAGGAAAATATAATGTGCGTTTTGTAAATATTAAGGCGATTCCGTACAAACTTAAGGATTTACAAAGCACAAGAATTTCTACACAATTTCTTATAGCCTTTTATAGCCGATGGCGAAAAAGCAGCAGCCAGGCAATAAAGCGTAAAGCCCGGCGATATAGCTCGGTTGTACAATTTTTTATCGCTTCGTGTAGCCCGGCCGTATGATTTTGTCCACTTTCCACAGCCAGCTATATGATTTTCTATCGCCCTCTTCAGTCGGCTATAAGAACTCCTATAGTATTTTGAAACGCAGCTCCCATCGCCAATTTTTACCAGGGTGGAGCTTCAAGGGCCTTTTTAAGTCTCTCAGATACTTGAGCTCAAAAAACTAAAGAGAATTCAACAATAGTAACTACGGAGGAATAAGTAATAATCTACGAAAAAAATTAATGCATGGGCCCTTCAGGGCCTGGCAGCGGATTGTTAAGGGGCGGTCGCCTCCTTTCTAGTCCAGCCCATAACGATTGTCTGAAGCCATGAACAACTGGAGAGACATTTGGAATTTAAGAAATTATAAATTAAAAACGCATTCTACAAAATGTCTGAATTCCAAAATAGTATATCTGTTCATGCATATGTGTGTATCTATTTTATGATTCTTTCAAGGTTTTGCTCACGCTTTATTCTTCGGAATGAAATCAAATCACCACTTTCAATACTAAACTTTTTATTATGACAGTTAAAAGAAGATCAGACATAATTCCGAATCATTGTTGATCTTTTTTCAGAAAAATTGAGTATTTGTGAAAATTTCCCTCCTTTACAATTGACACGTGAAGTTTTTGAGTTTTACTGTCCATACACCTGATATTAAATGCAAAACCGCACGATGGAGTATTTGCATTTGAATTCAGAGAAAAATTACGCAAGAAATATTAGGCAACAAAGAGGTGTTTTTCTCCTCTCAGCCACCGTCTCCAAGCGCCGAATGTCAATATTTAATAACCAAGAAGGACAGACGTCATTCTGAACCAAAACAGCGAATCCACAGAGGGATTTCATCTAAGTTACGCGTTTTTTCCAGTAACATGGATCAGGTCTGAAAAAAAGAGCTGGTGAACACGAGGTGTACTTGAAAATAGGGAACGTCCTTTTTCGGCTAATTACAAAAGCCATGTGCCTGCTTTTGATTATTCGTTTTGCAGATGTGAAGTGTAGGTGCCTCATTTATAAATCTGGCTACCTGAATGTTTTTTGGTATACTCCGTCCATGACCGGGATGACCGTTTGCCGGGATGTTTTTACTTTTTTGAGTTTTGATTCCTTTACCTCCAAACTTTAAGAAGAATTCATCATCCGTTACACTGTTTTAACCCCTTTATCTAGAGGATTTTAATAGGCAATGAAAAAATTGATATCTTTCCTATCTTTGATGAATTATAGGACTCTATTAATTTAAAAATCAGTAATCAGATTTTAGGAATGCAAGTATAATAAGAAAGATATAATCACTCGGAAGTTCATCTTTTGGAATTGTAAGATTCACAGTCCATTTCCTGCTTCCCAGTGGAACTTTATTCATTCTATCGATTCCTCTGAATTTATCCCGCGTATTATATTTAGTAGTCTTTTAAGCTAATCCTTCACTTCGCTATTATTTTAGCTGCTTCATTCATCATTCTTGTATCATGAAATTTGTTCCTTTATTGGACGTTTATGTTCTTTTCTTTCTACTTGTGCCGTGTCTTCTCCTAAGGGGTCGTCCCTAAATTACGTAACGCTAAATTTGCGGTTTTTTGACACCCCTCCCCCCTGTAAAGCTCCGTAATGTTGTACTGGATCCCCCAAAAAATTACGTAACGCTTACCTGACCCTCCCACCCCCCTTACTTCGATAAAAAACAGTGTAAATGTCACCGTACATTTACTGGACGGCTTGGTTTATCTATTTAAAGAAGAGATGTGAAATTATTACAGAGAATATCTCCGAGATTCTTTAAAACTTCCAAGGACGACCGATGAAAAATTTCCGCCATTCCTGTCATCTGAAATACAATTATTCATTTCATTTATAAGTTGTTTCAAAGAACAAATGTGAACGTATTACAGAGAATATCTTCGAGATTCTTCAAAACTTCCGAGGACGACCGATCAAAAATTTCCGCCATTCCTGTCATCTGAAATACAATTTTTCATTTCATTAATAAGTTAATCAAAAGCAGTAATTTTTTTAGTATTTCATGGAGAACACCCTAAATTTCAACGAAAACCTCTTATTTTATAGGTCTTTAAAATCAGAGGTCCAAGTCCTTTTCTCACAAGGTTTCTATTCTGTATAAAGTTTGCGCTAATTTTGCAGGCATGGACAGCGATCTTCCTCCTGACTTTTCTTCCCTTTGATTTTGTCTTCGGCACTCCTGAGTACCTGGATACTCTACTAGACGTTTGGATGCCACACAAAGAAAGAGAAAGATGGCGCACGTACAATGGCACCGCCATCGCGCGGATTCAGCCCTCCTGCATGACGCAAATTGACTCTTATTTGGAGGCCCTTGATAACGGGGACGATTGGGCAGTGCGAGGTAAGCTCAAATCTCAAGAAATGCACGATATCGATGTTACAATGGACCACTAGACAAGGAGGTATGAATTTCAGCATTCTGATGCATGTTTCTGCATCAAATTTCACGTCAAACACGATGCGCCCAACGAAAATTACCGAAATGGAGATGTTGCATGTGTGAGGAATTTGCGATTTGACTACTGATTTCTACGTAAAAGTTCGCAAGAAACACGATGGCGCCACTGGTTTTCTCTGAAATTCACTCCGAAGCTCAAAAAAAGCTCTCAAGTTGAGGCCAAAATGGAAGGGATGTCCCAAATTTAATGAAGTGAAAAATGCCCACATATGAGGCGGAAAAGGGCCGTCACTGTCAATGTAATTTTCACAAAGGTAATCGGTAAACGCACTACACTTCACGTTGTTGGACGGTTGAGAAGCTATAAAATCGTACACGAACGAATCTTCGACGGCGTCAGGTTCTACATAAATTAAGCTGAAAAATGATTGAGCCAAAGACCAATTTCTGACTTTTCGTCCTTGTGAACGGTTGCAAGCCCCAGTGGCTGAATTTTTCGATACCACGACTGTGTAACGTGAAATCGGCACAGAAGGTTTTTTATCGGCCTCCTACGGTGTAGTGGTTGTAGCGCTGCCTCTCTGACCGGGAGGCCCCGGGTTCGATTCCCGGCCAGGCGACCCGAGTTTGATGGTCTTAAACAATGGTTGCCTGGGACTAGTGTTGCAGGGACGGAGGGGGACGGGGCTAAAAACGCAAGGATTAGCCCTTGTGAGCTATTTGAAGTAGTAAAAAAAGAGGGGGGGGGGGAATGATACAAATATCGGGCCAGGTATTTGTTTAACAGCGGAATGAATAGCTGTTTCTAAATCTAAAACGCACTCAGTTGGTCTCAAATAGATAGCAATCGAGTACGCTTCATCTGATGCAGGCGATGATTCCTTACGAAAACTCTCATTGATAACACCTTAACTTGACAGAGGCTCCGTACCGTTCCAAAAACATTTACCTTTTACACCTTTGGCGGAATTTACAATTACTAGCGGAGAGCAGTAGGCGGAATTTACATTTTTCGTGGCTTGGGAAATCGGCGGAATTTACCAGCGTCCGAATGTAGTAACCTTACGATCGATATACGTATTTTAGTTTCAGATGCCTCGGGTCGATATTCTGNCCACACAAAGAAAGAGAAAGATGGCGCACGTACAATGGCACCGCCATCGCGCGGATTCAGCCCTCCTGCATGACGCAAATTGACTCTTATTTGGAGGCCCTTGATAACGGGGACGATTGGGCAGTGCGAGGTAAGCTCAAATCTCAAGAAATGCACGATATCGATGTTACAATGGACCACTAGACAAGGAGGTATGAATTTCAGCATTCTGATGCATGTTTCTGCATCAAATTTCACGTCAAACACGATGCGCCCAACGAAAATTACCGAAATGGAGATGTTGCATGTGTGAGGAATTTGCGATTTGACTACTGATTTCTACGTAAAAGTTCGCAAGAAACACGATGGCGCCACTGGTTTTCTCTGAAATTCACTCCGAAGCTCAAAAAAAGCTCTCAAGTTGAGGCCAAAATGGAAGGGATGTCCCAAATTTAATGAAGTGAAAAATGCCCACATATGAGGCGGAAAAGGGCCGTCACTGTCAATGTAATTTTCACAAAGGTAATCGGTAAACGCACTACACTTCACGTTGTTGGACGGTTGAGAAGCTATAAAATCGTACACGAACGAATTTTCGACGGTGTCAGGTTCTACATAAATTAAGCTGAAAAATGATGGAGCCAAAGACCAATTTCTGACTTTTCGTCCTTGTAAACGGTTGCAAGCCCCTGAGACGGAATTTTTCGGTACCACGACTGTGTAACGTGAAATCGTCACAGAATGTTTTTTGTCGGCCTCCTATGGTGTAGTGGTTGTAGCGCTGCCTCTCTGACCGGGAGGCCCCGGGTTCGATTCCCGGCCAGGCGACCCGAGTTTGATGGTCTCAAATAATGGTTGCTTGGGACTGGTTGTAGAGACGGAGGGGGCCTGGACTACAAACGCAAGGATTAGCCCTTGTGGGCTATTTGAAGTAGTAAAACAAAGAGAGGAAAAAATGATATACAATTATCGGGCCGAGTTTTTTTTAACAGCAGAGTGAATAGCTGTTTCTAAATCTAAAACGCACTCAGTTGGTTTAAAATAGATAGCAATTGAGTACGATTCATCTGATGCAGGCGATGATTCCTTACGAAAACTCTCATATATAACACCTTAACTTGACAGAGGCTCCGTACCGTTCCAAAAACATTTACCTTTTACACCTTTGGCGGAATTTACTATTACTCGCGGAGAGCAGTAGGCGGAATTTAATTTTTCGTGGCTTGGAAAATTGGCGGAATTTACCAGCGTCCGAATGTAGTAACCTTATACGATCGATATGCGTATTTTAGTTTCAGATGCCTCGGGCCGATATTCTGGAGGTCTTCTGACCGGTAATGAATTTGCACTCGGATCGAAAGCCCTCTGCCAAGATGTCGACGAGGAATCGAAGCTGAGGAATGGAAGTGGAGCTCCCTTTGGAGTGGGATTTTTCACTGCTCAAGTGACAGTCCACGTCAATTTCTCATCATTGCCCTCTGTACGTAACCAGCTTTCATTTGTTTGGCTAAATTTCATTACTTCCAAGAAATTAAACGAATCCACGAAGTAATAAAATAGGGCATTATTTATATATATTTATTTTAATTTTTTCCTTTAGAGAAAAAAATAATGATAGAAGCAACCAAGTGTTGAAATTTCATCAATATAAGTGGAATGTATTACCATTGTAATTCAAAATAAAAGTTATGGGATTTTTTCATGTACCAATTTATCTCGGTAATTACTGCCATACTCGCATGTATTTTTGTGAGTTTTCATTAAAATGTTCAAGTCAGCACTAAAAAGACATCCAAATTATATACCAACTTCTCCAATGCTTCATTGATGCTACAAAATGCCATACGCTGCTATTCGGAAGTTGAGCGCATTCCAGCCTCATTCTATAGTGACCAGTTTGAGTCATTTTTCGGAAAAGCCACCAGTGAAGCACATTGTAAGCATAAATCACAAAATAGATTTTATAATCTATTTTGTGATGAAAGATAAGTCTTTGTGTGAACGGAAATTACTAATTCTAAAATCTCGGGTATGAATAAGTACAAAGTAGAAATGTTATTATCAACTTTGACAACGTGTCTCTGTTTCATTCAATACATATACGCAATTTAGCATTATCTTCTTAATCAACTAAATATTCAAATCGTATTTTTTCCAGAGCCGCGGCCTACTAGTCGGAATTTGTCTTCCAAGAATATGTTCTGAGAGTGACGTGAAAAATCTACTACAATCAGCGGTTGTCAGAAACAATTTCACAAGCATTCGAGTCCGGGCTGTTTCCGAAAAGTACCAGTATTGGAGCGATCCAAAATTCACCCTGTTACTGTAAGATCATGAAAAATTTCCACCTATTTCAAACTAGAGCTAGCACCATTCACGCGGCCGTTCTATCATCAAAACCGTTTCCGCGAAGAACATGGGCAGTAGGGATAAAAAATGTTCACTTTTACAATTGAATCGACTCTCGGGCCCACAGTTTTAGAAATACATTTATCTGCTTCGGTCATAGAACAGCACGTGTCCCCCCCTCCCCCCCTTGAACCCTGCAAGGGTCCGAAAAAGAACCTCAAGGGGGACGGTGTACGAAAGTTGCAGAAATGAAGTAAACTGAAAAATAAAGGATGCTTGTGAATTGTATTTACATGTATACAGAGAATTGTCAGTTTAACAAAACTGATATAGTTAGTTAGTTAGTTAGTTAGTTAGTTATTATAATTTTGAGACATTCAGCGACTCAGGCTATTAACGTCTTTACAGATAATTTTGAAAATAGGAGTATAAACGAAAATTTAGATTTTTAAATTAAGAGAGGTGAAGAGTTTCAGAATTTTGGTGGAAATATTAGGTTCATCGCATGTAAGAGGGTTTGTATTTCTGTTAATTGTAGGGGAGTAGATCTGTGATTGGAGATATCGGAGGGAAGAGTAGTCCATAAGTATGTGTTTGATGGTTAGAGGTGATGAATCGCAGAAGTGGGCAGGTGGGTTGGTTTTCTTTAGATATGATATGATTGTGAGTGAAAAAAGTGTGACCTATCCTGAGACGCGCAATTTGGACTTCACATGATCTTGATTTGTGGTTAGATGTTCTTGGATATGGCATGGGGGCTCTACGGAGACGATTCTGTTCACTAACTTGTGCTCCATTCTTGTTCCCACGATTTTGTGATAAGTTCGCACGTAGCTTTTTTAGCATCTTGCTGAGTGAATGGATGGTGAGTGATGTTCTGCAAAGAGCATGCTTCAGTGGCTGCTCTGTCCGCTGTTTCGTTCCCCAGAATTCCTATATGAGCCGGTACCCAGATGAAAGAAGTGGAGTGGCCATTGGCCAATAAGGAATGAACAGTATCATGGATTAACATTGAAAAGGGATGATTAGTAGGGTTGTATTTTAAGGTGCGGAGTGAGGGAAGAGAGTCAGAGCATATGACGTAATTGATGGTATCATTGTTACAGGAACTAAGTTCTTGTACATATCTAATTGCTTCGAGAATAGCCAGCATCTCAGCTGTGAAAATAGAATTTAACGGAGGTAATTTTTGTTTCAGGATAAAATTATTTGATGTATCTACGAATGCTAATCCTACTGATGTTTCTTGTTTAGAACCATCTGTGAAAATTTGTTTGTAATCAAGGAAGTTTTGACATAAAAGTTGGTTTAGTCGTTCCTTGTAAAATGTACTTGATGTGTTTCCTTTCTGATAGGCAGCTAGGTCCAAATTGACAGTATCGATATTGTACATCCACGGGGGCAGGAAAGGGTTTCATTTGGAGAAACATGCTTTACGGAAGACTTTACTTTAAGACAACAACTTTGGAAAATGTATGTTCAATAAATATAAATCCAAATGTCAGTACAATTTATGAATATATATCGGGAATTGTATGATGCTGAATGTCTATAAATAAAATAACTAACCAACTATATATAAATTATACTATCTACATGTTCTCCAAACGGAATCGCTGGGCTCGTATTGCTCCTTTTATCTATCTTCGGGATGGCGCTACGAAAATACTCCGCGGGTTGTATCCCCGTTCAAAGGTACGCTGTAGGTGCTGGACGTACCGCGAGTCGCCAGCCGGGATTGGCACCGGTACCGGAATGAACACAGGCACTCGCTGCACTGCCCAGGGGGGCTGCCGCTGGGTAAGGCGGGCCCCGGCTGCAACCTGGAGTGCTGGGGCTTAAGTTGTTTCATACGCGCCGGTGACGCCTATGAGACACGCCCTTTTGGCGGCGTCCAAGGGCTTTGCTACACGGGTGACTGTGCAGCGGTGCCCCCAGACCTCCGCGGCGTAGGCTGCTACAGGGAGGACTGCTCCTATGTACATATCTAAAAGGCATCTAAAATTAACTTCTCTGCGGGGGACGAGCCTCCGCAGCGCCATGAAAAGCCTTTTAATCTTCCCCGCTATATAGTGTGTGTGGGCTTCGAAGTTCAAATCTTTGTCGATGATCACGCCTAGGTACCGACCGCTGTCCACCGTGGGGATGGGCTCCCCATGGAGGAAGGTCCTATTGACACGTGTCGTGTTTTTGTAGATGAGCCTCCAGCACTTCCCGGTCGAGAACACGAGCTTGTTGTTGCGCGCCCACCTCTCGGCGGTGCCCATGATGATTGCGGCTTTTCTGGCTAGTTCTGCGGCAATAGCCGATATCGTCCGCGAAGGCAAACACTTTGCATCCTGGAGGGAGATCCTTCCTCAGGAGGGTGTCGGCAATGAGGTTCCATGCCTCGGGCCCTCTAACGGAGCCTTGGGGGGGCCCTTTGGTTAGCCGTTTCTCGGCCTTTTCTCCACTATCGGAGAGGGTGACAATCCGGTCCGAGGAATAGCTAAGCCAAAGGGCCGCGATGTCTTTGGGGTAGCCTTTGCGCCTTATTTGCTCCATTATGGAGGGCCACCAGGCATGGTCAAACGCTCCCTTGATGTCTAGGCTGATGAACATTCGGTGTTTGCCGTTCGCGGGGTTCTTTAGGAAGTCTACGACTCCCTTTATTGCATCGACGGCGCTGCGGCTTCTTCTGAATCCGTATTGGTTCTCGGATAGTGCCTCGATGTTTGCTTCTTCTGACCTCAGACCAATGAGTCTCTCGAGCATCTTGCCCATTTCTGAGAGCATCGTCAATGGTTTGAGGTCCGTTATGTTGCTCGGGTCCCTGTCCTCACCTCATTTGGGAATTGTGGCTAGTCTGCCCAGCTTCCAGCCGATAGGAAAGTAGCCCGTCTGTTGGCAGGCGATGTAAATTGAGAGTAGCCATTCCCCGATGGATGGGAGGGCCAGTTTGAGGACAGGGGCCAGAACACCATCTGGTCCGGGTGCCTTGCCGCTCATGAGCTTCTCCGCCGCCTTTCTAAGCGCTCCGGCGTCGAAAGGAAATGAGAGGGGCGTATCCGGTAGTTGTTGGAAAGAATCTCGGAGTCCTCGGTGGCAGTCCGTTTCCTCCTCTGGGGTGTCATCGGGTAGCATACGATGTAAGGTGTTCTGCAGGGTTTGCTTCATTAGTGACCCTTACGGGAACAGCCGTGGCACCAACAACCACAATAATGATACACAAAGAACACAACGGAAAAACAAACGGAAACAAACAAACAACCAAGCGTTGTTATTCTGTGATGATGGCGAGCCGATGCTCCCCTGACGGCCGCGAGGTGGCTCCGCGGCGGATTCCTTCTAGGATGTCGCGCTCGTTCTACTGTTCACAGATTGGTTCCTCCATCGGACCGACTGTTTGGACTTGCGGCTTCTCACCTGCACCCACTTGGGTGTGGAGGCCGCGTCGTCCTCTGTGTCTGTCGATGCGCCGGCTTCGCTTCTGACTTTCCGAACTTGTTTATGGACCGGTCGTTTTATCGGCGGAAAGTCTCTCTGGTAAGTTGCGTCTTTGCGCTTAAGATGGCCTGGGGGCGGTGCTTGGTGCCCTTGGCTAGTGCCTTCCCCAGTTGGGTTAATTAGTGTCAGAGATTGAGTGGTCTCCGCGCTCGAGACGGATTGGTTGGTCCCTGTTTTGTTCGCGGAGGGCGGGGGAGCGGGCGGTGCCCATGTCGCGGGCAGAATTTTCTTAATTTCTGCAACGATTTCTTTTAAGATGTCCTGTTTTAATTTTTCGGTCTCGCCCCTAACCGCGTTCGCGATCGTTTCCGCGATTGCTGCCCCTCTGTTTGGGGGGGCTGAGAGGGAGATGTCTATCACCGGGAGAACGTTTCGTTGAAGCCTAGCCGGCGATGATTTTAGCCGGGAGCGCGCGGAGATGTTCTTCGTAGGGGCTTCCGAGACAATGGATTCCGTGTCTGACTCGGTATAGACCGAGTCCATATCTACATCCTTCAGGGTGGGCTGGTTTGTTCTCATTTCGCACGCGCTGAGTAAGGCTTGGCAGAGGGTGTCAATTGTGGCAAGGAGTTCGGACATGACCCCGTCCACATCGTTTCTCTGCTCTTTGCTACATTTCCCCTTCGATCTTTCGAGGTGTTCCATTAATAACGTCCTACGACTATCCATTTCTGCGAGTTTTTCTTTCCCCTCTCTTGCTGCTCGGGCGAGACTCTCCCTCCAGTCACTATCGAGAGGGGGGGTGAGGCTCTTTTTCCTCCTCCGTTTGTTCCTGTTGGGAGTTCCGTTTTCTGTCCGCGGAGGACGGACGGGGGGGAGGGTGGAGGCCTGAGGTCTAGAGTTGGGTGGCGTGCCTAGGGCGCTACTGACGATCTCCTTCTGGATTAGCGTCTCTATCGAGGGACGGCGCGAGTTGCCGTCGTCTGTTACTTCGAGGTTATGACTAGGGCTAACTTCGGAGCGGAGAACCTCCGTTCCCTTTGGCTTCCCTAGATGTAGGAAGTCTCTAAGTTGCTCTCCGATAGTGCTTTTCCTCCTGGTGGTATGAGGTTGGTTCTGACTTGGATTTTGCATTTGGGTTTGTCCGCTTGCTTGATAACGATCTGTAGGGAACGCGGACTCCGACCCATTGCTGGGCGGAGATTCCCTACCTACCGGCTCTGGGGGTACCGAAAACCCCTGCAGCAGTACGTTTGTTTCAGTGTTTTCTTCCATTCATAAATCATTGATAGGGGGCTGCCCTGGTTCCATTAAGTCCTTGGTTCCGCTATCTTCAGGTTCTAGGCTGTCGGAATCCGTGCCCGTGAGAAGGGTGCGCGTTCCGAATCGCGCACCACTGGGCTGCTTGTCCTTGGTCGGACTTGACTGAGTTCGCGGCGCTGGCGCTCATCGGTGGTTTGACTCAAGGGTAGTTGCGTACACCTGTAGAGAGCCGTTTGGCTCGCGTGATGCGAAGTTCGGCGCTAAGAGGTGGAGTGGTAGCGACTCGGGTAGGTGTCGCGGTAACTTGGCTCGCGCCAACGAGGGGAGCGCGAGGTCAGATCGTGCCAGAGTTCGAGTTGGGCTCGATCGGTTCGCGGCTCGAAGCGAAGTTCGCCGAGGGGTGTCGCGAGGGTTCGCTCTGTAAAGAGCGCGAGGTTGGGTAGCTCTGAAAGTTTGAGTGATCGTGGCCGATCGGGAGTCCCGGTGACTTGGCGCGCGCCGTGGAGGTGCGATAAAGCGGGTTGCCTTGACGAAGTCAAGGATCAAGTCGGGATGCGTGCGCTGTCAGACGGGGCGCCGCTTCGGCGGAGATAGGAGGATGCGGTGAAGGGTGACGTGGATAGAGCGGTAGTGCCGCATTACAGAGGCGGGAGAATTGGGCGCTCCCGCGCTTGGCCGAGACGGTCCGCTGCTTAGAGTGAGGCAGGGAGTGGTCGTGATCGTGATTAAGAACGTCTCTCCGCGGAGAGGGTCCTGTCTAGACGACAAGACGGACCGTCTCGGCGAAAACGTCCTTTATCCGTCCATGATTGGGGCTGGGCTGCAGGTTGGCACGGCTTGGCTACGGCGTGGCTGCTGGATGGGCTATGGGCTAGGTTGCGGTCCGGGGCTGCGTGGCTGGGTCCGCATCGCTGCTTGGCTCCGACCGGGTCTTCGGGTATGGGTTGCCTTGGCCAGTCCTTCGCTCAGGTACGTCCTCCCAGGGTTGGTCACGATCGCGGGGCGGGGGCGCTTGGGACAAACTGCCTTGCGCTAGCGACCCGTCCGCGTCGGATTTCCCTCGGTCGGAGATGGGGCTCGCCGCCCTGGTCCCGGTCCGGGTCCGCGCTCGGCAGAAGTGCGAGGCCCTTCACGGGTGGGCGGGCTCCGTGGTAGCCCTCCCGCGCTGCGGACTCCGCGCCTCGATCCGCCCTTTCGCCTGCTTGCCCAGGCGTCGGGGTTTCTCGAGACGTTTCGTCCGAAACGCGGGTGTGTACTCGCTGTTCGCGCTCGACAACGACTTTTCCCAGTTGAGCAAGAACTTGGTACTAGGTCGGTGGCGAGCACTAGAGCGATTCGTAAAAACACATGTTGTTGGTCCTCGTGCTGTTGGTCCTTCCGCCAGCGCTGCTTGGCTCTCTAGTCCTTCGGCCGGTCGCTGCTTGGCTGTCCGGTCCTTCGGCTGGCGCTGCTTGGCTGTCCGGTCCTTCGGCTGGTGCTGTTTGGCTAGTGTTGGTCCTCGATCCGAGTCCGTGGAGTCCTCTAGGTTGATTACTGGAACTCTCTCCGACGCCGTCGTGGAAGGGCGATTCTCTCGCCGGCGAAGCCGGCCTCCGTGCACCACATTGAAGATATGAGAGGTGCCCGGCGCCGGAGTATTAATCGGGTTTTAGTCGTCGGGTGGGCTCCCGGCGCGAGCGCCGAGATAACCCGATCCCACGTTTCCGTCCGAGCCGATGTGCCCTAGGGGCATCGGAGTCGACCCGAGGGACGCGATCTTGTGGCGCCCTGCTCAGAGAAGTGTGGACAGTTGTCCAAGCGATGTCCGGGGTTGTCTTCGACCCCTTCGAAGCCGCGGGTCATACCATCCAACAGGTATTTTTGTAACTTGCGAGGCGTGCTCGTGTTAATAGCGCCTTGATGCAACTATCCGTGATCCATGGATATGCGTGTCGTGCTTACTAAAAATTGAAGGCGTTCTAGGATTTCTTGCCGTCCTAGCACTACCAAGAACAGACTATAATTATAAACGCACTGGCGTTGTAACTACAATATGCGGTTACCTCATATAATGAAACTGTGACGGTGACATTCCTATTCCCGCTGTCGTGAAATCACCCTGAATTGTATTTTTAGTTGGTCTTTTTAATCACCATGTTTTCTTTGTCAAAAAAAGTATTACATCTATCACGGTATTTACATTTTCATATTTCTTTTCAAGCTTCATTAACCAAATAAGGTGTGTTTTAAAGTCAATACCGACGTTATGCTATTTGACCCACCATTGTTCAACGTTTAACAGATGGACCAGTATCGTCATAGGAACTTTAATGTTGGCTGGAACCTGTTACGATTTGTTAGTTCCTGATCCTGCGTGTGCGGAACCTGTGAGGGGTATTTTCCATCCCTCGGAAATGAGAATATCGGGACAGACCTTATTTTTCAACAGTTGCCTGAAAATGAAGCATGATCAGACACCGGGAATAGTCACAGACATGGTCAAGAATAAAGCCCCTTTACCGATAGGTAAGTCGACACATGTTCCGACCGTCTGTAAAACTCTTTACGTTCTTTTCTTTGGAAATTTATTTCGTTTCCAGTGACAACAGTGAATCGTTACTCTAGATTTTCACCAAAAATTATTTCCCATGATTCGTCAATGAAATACATATTATTCACTATTTTTCTCTTTTCCCCCTAAAGATTTATCATCTCTGAGTGTGATTTTTCTTCTCAAACCATATTTCACTTTTATTTAAGTTCTATCTGGTTTAATTCTGTACTTACTAATTATACCATTTGATTGGAATCCACAAAATTTTGATTTTAAATTCATTATACCGATTGAGAGGCCATCCTTGTAACAGAGCATTTCAAAGAAAAGTCAGAGATAGTCATTCAATGCGAATGGCCGAATCGAACAAGCATTCGGGTAAATCAAAGTTATACAAGATATTTTTAGACACATCTCATGAAGATGTAAGATTATATTTAACTGATCGTCCCAACCTCAGTTTCAGATCTCACCGAAGCTTATCAAATGACCGCTGTTGGAAGCAAAATGAGACAAATGATTCAAACATCTCGACCAAAAATCCATTTCATGAGCGAACCAAATAACTGGAGCAAAGGTAGGTGAAAAATTTCAGTTTTTCCAATCGATGGTCCAAGTGCGAAATCTTGCATCTCCTTTTGCGACTTTGCAGCGACTTTAAAACACCGCGATGAAGATACGTGATTTTGTATTTTGGTCATCGAAATATTATAAAAATAGGCAGTCTGTTGATGATGATGGCCTGTGCACATTCATGTTATAACTCCTTGCGCATTTTTCACTAATTTTTAAGAAAATACTCGCTCGTTCTTCAATTAATACTGCTCCTTCTAACTGAGAGTTGAGCCATCTTCAGTGTCTCATCATATGTTGAAAGTGAAACAACACGTACCTCGATCACGACGTCGCGGAATCCTCACCATATTTTATTACTTGAAGAAAAATGGATGAACGGACATATTTTCATAGAAATTTTCTCAGTTGATGAAATAAAAAAATCAGAACTTATTTCAAGGAATAGCGCTTGAGTACTTATACTGGAAAATAAAATGTGTCAAGAAATCTGAAACCCCGAGAAACGATCTGAACCGAGATGGTATTTTTTGACTTTTAAGAATGTCATATTGTAGTCTGTCAAGTAGATCTAACAATAAGTTATATATCCTGAAAGTGCGGTAGCGATGATCAAAACTTACATACATCCAGCCTTTAGGAAATAATTTCTCCATAAAACGCCTGCAATTGTTGATGTAGGCAAACTTTGATACACAAGAGATGAATATGTTCCCTTCATGATACATTGTTTTAGAATTTGTAGTGCTTGTTTATCCGTTGATTGCAAATTCATTTCGATCTTATGTTCCATAGTCAATGCAGATAATTATTACGAGCAATACTTGCTCGTAAGCAATACTACCTACTGTAGAAGGAAGTAAGTTCGTCAGGCTGTTTAAAATTGCCAGAAATATTTTTATCAGAATGAACTACAATGAAAATGTCTCTATAAATCTTTGATTTTGGTTGGTTGTACGGAGAAAGTAGGGAACTTTTTTGTTTCTACAATATTAAATTGCCCTCGGCTAGTTTGAATGATGTGGAACTTTCACCCTCATATGAACATGAATTCGATCCAAGAAGAATAAGCGTCAATACTTGAGTATTCAACTAATTGATGCTTATTCTCCGTCTGCAGCTCACAATATAGCGACTGAGGTTCTTCTAGCCTTTTCGGTGCCAAGAAACATTCGAAAAATTGGAAGTTTTGAAGTCGGCGATGACACATTAGCACCTTTGCACGGATTGCGTTTCCTAAGCATGCTGTGGGTCATTCTAGTCCACACCTGTCTCCTTATTTTTCAAGTTGCCGGTGAGTCAACTCTTTTTACAATACTCTATACCTTGAACTGACCTTTATATGGACTACATTTTGCAATTTGGAACCATAAAGTCTATCCCGGTTTAAAAACAACGTATGTGCCATTAGTTTCCCTATGCACAAAAGTGTTTTTCCAGATGACCCAGAATTTATAGTTCCAAATTGCAAAATGCAGTCCATATGGAACATATATTGTGCACAATCCGCCATGTCTTTTTCCTTGAAACAGGGCTTAGTGTCATTCTGATTTTTAACGGAAGCTTGAGTGGAATAACAGCCACCTAAGTGTTTTTTCCTTGCGAGCTAAATTCCTCGAAATTTTTGCGTACGTAAATGTGTGTTGAATTTCCGAACCATGAACTGGAAGTACGTGGTGCCAAATATGAATCCGTTTTCTTTCGGTTCAAATGATTGTATATTTTCAATGGAACGCTTCTTAGACACTTCGAAATGAATTGATCCTAAAGGGCTTTACATTCGTGTTAATAGGATGTGTTAAATGTATTTTCTTCAGTTTTCTTCGAAATATTTTCGAAACACTTTTTCACACAACACTGAGTTACTGGGATGAAAGCCTTGCCCGCGATCAGTTTATTTGCTTTCTTTGCTCGGTAGGTTTACCTCTAAAGTCTTTTAACTTTTTTTACGGTTTTATTTCTATTTAATTTTGAATAAATAGTTTTCGATCGCGAACGCGCGGGTGGATCATCTTCGATCATTATTAATGATAAAGACAGCGAAACACGCGAAAAATTCAAACTCGCAAGAGACCATTATAAATTGAATTAATAATAATTACAAAAATTCACGTGTGACCGGTGCAACGTGTTGGCAATCACTGCAACCCGATGATATTGCGCTGATTAGCAGAATCAGGGCGATGCATCTGTAGTGAGGGATCTTTATCAGTACCCCTCACCTGCGTGCCTGCCTGAGCGCTATCTCCTCAACGTCGCGTCCGCGGCGACCGGACCGACCGTACCGAGAGGCAGATAGATGGATTGCATTTTGCAAAAAGGAACCACTAGCATTGCAATGTTGCTCAGTTTGTGCAACTTCTTTTGTCTTGGAGGAAAACCCCGATTATCCGTTAATAGTTTCTATTTTACTCGCTAAAAACTGTGAATTTAAGACAAAAATTACTATCTAAATTTCATAGTATTTCACGATTTCCGCAATTTTATTGCAAAGGATGAAGTTGCACAATCTTAGCATCATTGCAATGCTAGTGGTTCCTTTTTGCAAAATGCAATCCAGATGGAATACGCCCGTGACCCCTGACTTAGTTCCACAAAACTTTGTCTCTTAGCTCCAAAAATTGATTAATTAGGCTGAAATTCGGGACATTGGTACTTACATTAGGATGCGAGGAATCCATATCTGCCATTTCCGGAAAAAAAGCACATACGCGTATGTGCCCCTTTTCCGGAATGCCCCTCAATCGCGGCTGCTGTATACGGTGCAGTGGCGTGGCGTGATTTGCGATCTATCGATATTCCCCCATTTGAAGCTGTGGTGAATAATCGATTATTAAGGTGTTCGCTGCGAACACCCTGTCTATCGATACTTTTCCATAGGTTTACATGGTCGATCAATCGATATATCGCAAAGCTTGCCACGCCACTGAAACGGTGAGTATTGGCTTGGCCGCGTCAGAATTTTTGCGGTTCATAATGAGACGAGATCACTGACTCTGGTAGGTTTATCAGGAAGATGAGCCATTTAATCTTTTCATGCATTTACCTATTTCATTTTCTCCATGCATCCCCCCCCTCCCCCACATGATGCGTGTTGTAGAAGATCATGATCAGCGGCCACGGTGGAAAATAATGTTATTCTTTCCTTTTTTTTTTCAATATTAATTGACACGCATCAAATCTTTTTTTATCTGTGTCAGTGCAAAGAAGACAATCAAAGCATAATTGATATAGAGAGAGGAAGATTTTAGCATTCGTTCGTGTATTACCCGAAGTTTTAGTTAAGTTTATACCCAATTCTACTTCGCCCTCTGCTTCCTCCTCAACCAATGTTTCTTTTTGATGACTAGTATCTCTTGCAAACTTATAATTCTCCATTTCAGAGTGAGAGAAACACATGCCTAATTTTGATACAAACTTCAAAATTAGTCTGGTTTCGAATCTACGATGCATTCATATGCATGCATAGACTAGTTGCATTTGAAATATGAAAGATCTGGGTCCCATTGCTGCCCTTATATTGTGTTTATCTCCATACGAACCACATATCACCGCCTACAAGAGTGCAGGAATACTAAAAAATCTAATAAAATTAGAAGTGTCAAGAAAGGGGTACAAATATTATATTTTCCGTCGAAGTTTTCCATAGTTTTGTTTAACAGCTATCTCGTAGACTTCATTTGTAAGGATGTCAAATAGAGAGGACTGGGTCTTTAAAACTTGCTAATAAATAGTATCCTGACAGTTCATGGAAGGACTGCTTTTAGAGTAGAATTGACTGTACCATCGTCTGAAGTGGGCTACGGATCCATCTTCCTTTATAATATTCTGTTGCGCTCTTACTTTCCCGTAATTCCATACCATGATGTCCTCCTCGAACTAAAAATAGAAGAGGAAATTAAAAACAAATTGAAATTTCGGTACTGGGGTAAGGTTAATCCTTAACTCTAGTACAATATATTTTGGTATACGGTCCATATTTTCTCTAAGATGTTAGCCCTCACGTGTATTATTTTGGGAAAAGCCGAAAACTCAGTTTGGACTTACCGTCAGGCAGGGTATATTCGATACCAATGAAATGAATAGATCAATTGGACTGCATTTTGCAATTTGGAACAATAAATTCTGGCTCTTCTGGGAAAACACTTATGTGCATAGGGAATCTAATGACACATACGTTGTTTTCAAACCGGGCCAGAATTCATAGTTCCATATTGCAAAATGCAGTCCAATCGAGGTGCATGGGAGCCTCGTGAGAATGAAAAGGGGGGTAGTCTGAAGGCAATTTTTAAGCCTCTTCCTGCTTGACCCTTCTTCCTGATCCGAGAAGAGACTCTCAGAGGACGATCCAATATGGTAAGGAGCCAGTGAAGTTAAGGGATAGGGTTCATCTTCCATGGCGGGGGCCTTTCAAAGTCACAAGGCTTTAGCAAAACAAGGTGCATACAAGCAGGTGACTTGAACGGAAAGGTTTTAACAAAGGACTGTGTGTGAAGAGAGCGCTTTGCGAGGTCTGAGAATCCATGCAGCTCTCTAAAAACGCCCTCTCTAATTTTCAAACTTCAAACACGTATTTCTCGAGATAACAATAACTGCACTTATGCACTTCGTCCTCCAAGCTCCTCAATGGACCTATTGCGAATTTTTGCCAGAGCAAAAGTAAGAATTGTTTCTATCAGTAAATGTCTAAAAAATCCAATACCCAACATAGCGGACCCTTTCGCACGAAAATCGCAATCGGGAGCTCAAGGTCAACCAAAGCGGATCTTTATCAACGCAAAGAAATCGTAAATGTAAACACGCTAGGATGGGTGTTCCCTTGATTGAGGTTGAAACTCTGTTCACTCTGTGCTTTGCTGATGACTGCAAGTGGTGATTGCACAAGATCAAGATGACGCCGATTACATGATGCGCAAGTTGGTAGAGGAGTATCGGAAGTGGGGTTTGGCAGTCAGTATTTCCGAATCCGAGAAACTGACTTTGGGAGGTGATCAGCAAAGCATTGAGTTGGAGGATGGGCAGCAGATCAAAGGCTGTGCGGATTTTAAATACTTGGGAGTGTGATTGACCCAGGATGGAAGAACTGATCAGGCGATTAAGGAAAGAAACACCCTGGCAAGGAAGGCTACAGCGATGTTAAATGGAATCCTCTGGGATCCGCGGATTTCCAAAGAGAACAAGAGGAGAATTTACAACGTTCTAGTCAAAAGTATTCTGACGTATGGATGTGAAGTTTGGCAGCTGAAGGAACGGACCCAGGGGATGCTGAGAGCAACGGAGATGGATTTCTGGAGGAGGTCGCTGTAGGAATTTTAAGGAGAGATCGGGTCCGCAATGAAAGAGTGCGTCAGATCATGGGAGTCGAAAATGACATCGTATTCGACGTCATGATCAGACAGCTTGACTGGGTATGATCATGTCAATAGAAGGACGGACGAAAGGCTGCCAAAGAAGTTGCTTGATTGGGTTCCTCCTGAGAGGGGACGAACGGGACGCCCAGTGAAAGGGTGGCGACAAGGGGTTTTAGACAACTCCCTGAAGAGCTTTGGGAGGAAAGGGGACTTTGGCGGCTAGGAGTCGCAGAGCGCCAGAGAGCGCTATAAAAGCGGCTTTATACATACAAACACGCTAGGTTGTTGACAAATGTTTAGAATCTCGTCCAGGCACTTGTGTTTTGACGGATTGGTGTCAGTCATGTTGTGTTGGTGTTGTGTCATTGTGTAGTATCCTAGCGCACAGAGGTTGTATAGAACGACGATACCTCCAGGAAAAAGTCTACCTGTGCCGTAGAATCGTTTTTGAAGCGAAAAGCTAAAAAAAAAATGCAAATTGCTCTCGCAGATTTTGCGAAGTTAGGAAACATTTTAAACTTTGTCGGTGCGCTCATCGTGAGTTTTTAGACCTTTACTGATAGAGACAGTTCTTATTTTTGTTTTAGCAAAAGTTTGCGACAGGCCCATTGATGTGTCAGCCTTACACCAGTTTGTTTCATGACACTTACGGCATTTTTAAGTCCATGCAACGCGATTGGTCCGAAGAGGATTGTGAATGGCCGCATGTACAACCGCGTCGTTAGTCGGAGGGTGAGTGGTGCAACTGGCGTAAAACACATCGTATACCTAGTGTTTCCAAGAGACGTTGATTGGGTAAGCTCGATGTAGCCTGGTCCGATCTGAAAAAAACATATTTATACCTTCACGCAAAAACAGAAAAGGAAGATGCTCAATATAAAATTATACACATCCAGCTGACAATGTAAATAAACTGACAATGAGCCTACTGTAGAGTAATGTC